TTCTAACAGGTCTGTGGGACTATAAGACACCGCCCTAGTCTATCTCTTTTTGTTACAAGTTTTGTCTTGTACTCAACCTATTTCGGAGGCGAGCACAGCTCAAGACTCCACTGGGACCGTTGGCCCTCCTGGACCATTATGTACTCACGAGACCTAAGATATAGGGAAACCGCAAAGAACCATTATTGATGTACTCTTGTCTGTAGTTATATGTGTGTTGTACCCGCACACAAGGTATTGCATCAGAAGGAACAACGAGCAGATGTCTCAGCAATATTATGTGTGCAGACAACGTCTGTACTGTAGTTAAAATACACCAACCGACTTATAGATTGCGCCATCATGTTAAGAGATGTCAGATATAGTCCAAGTGCTGACTGTGGTGAGCACAAGGGCTATTGTCTATGTTTCATGTGTCCTGTTTTGTATGTGTGTCCTGTCCTCGTTCCTTGTCTATGTAGTGTGTCTATGGAAAGTCCTGCTGTAGCCTACGGTTACAGTGGGGCTATTTCCACTTTATGTGTTTTGGATATCGACGACGATGGATTATGTTTTATGTTTTATGTTGTGTGATTAGGTTTAGGAGTAAACCTATTTAGGTTTCTCACTTAGTATATGTGCTGTTTAAGATTAGGTTAGATATTTGGCTATTGCAAAGTCTTTGACCTAGCTTTAGTCCGGGGCCTTTTCCATTTTAGGGCATGTTCTGCTTTGTCTAAGTTTAAGCATAGGGCTAAGTCTATAATAGATTTAAGCAAAGTCCATTGTGATATACACGTTAAGCTTGTCTAATGTTTTATGTTTTACATATGTGTCCTGTACCTCTGTGTTATGGAAAAGCCCTGCTGTAGCCCATGGTTACAGTGGGGCTATTTCCATTTTATAGGAAAAATCGACGAGGACGAGCGTATATGTTGAGAGCTGGTAGAGAAACTGTTCTTGACTTGTCCTCAAGACAGCGTTCTTTATAGTCGAAGCCGGATCTGTTATGTTGAGTTGTCCATGTTTAAGTCATGTATTCGTTCTCTGTATAAATGTGGAGAACCTTCAGTTTTCTCTTTCTTAAAGTGGGTATGCACTTATGTCTATGTTATGTGAGGAATATACACAGTACGAGGGACAAGCTCATACTGTGGAAACTTCGTATATGTGGCGCGTATCGACGAGGACGAGCCTTTATGTTTTGACGAGGACGTGCCTTTATGTTGTCCAGTCACATATGTTATGAGCCGACGACGAGGACGAGCCTATATGTTTGTAA